AAAACATTAAAGTTACACAATAATCTGCAATGGGGAAGTCTTCCGTATATATGAGGACTTTAATTCTCCATCAGATAAAAAAAGGGAATTTAATCCCATCCTGGAAGGCATTAAAGTCACAGCATGAAAGAATCTTACTTACATATTTAGCTGCTATTGCTATTGACTATGAATAACTTTTCTCTATGTTGTTGGGTATGAATAACTTTTTCTAAAATCACATAATTTATCATTTTGCAATGCTTCACACTGTAGCATTAAAGGATCTAAGTTCCCTTTTGAAATGAATAATGTATTCCTATACACTTTGGTTTAGACTTTCCTGAAATCTTGCCTACTGATCTACTACTGTCTCCAACTTTTCAAATAACTTTCTTGCTACTTTTAAGGCTTTTAGGATCTTTGTTGTGGTTTTCTGGTTTTATTTTTAATAGCCCAATTTGAATGTGTAGGGAAATTCACCTCATTCACAGATAGTAAAAGAATATGAATTTCCCATTTATTTTATTCGTATTCACCTTACTTTCTTCGGATCTTTTGTTTTCTACTTTCTTTTACTTTGTCTAAATATTCCATTTCCCCCACTATTAACATATATATGGTAGGTTCTGTACTATACCCCCTTCTGATCAATACTCAGTATTTTCTTCAAATTCCACGCAGCAATTACCAATAAAACAAGCTTTTTTAGAACTAAATATGCTCAATCAGTAGTCCAACAATTTAATTTCCTCACTTCAAGGGTGCAGAAATTTTTAAGCTTTGAATACAAATGAATGTTTTATAGTATTTTAAAATAATACTAAAGCTTCATCTCAGACACAAACTGACTTTTTTGCTGCATTGGGACTACTCATTCTTCTTTAAGGTTCAAATAATACTAATTAAATATCACTTCTAAAAACCACTTCCATGTTACTTTCTGAAAGCTAAATTTTAACTCTGGATATACAAACTAACAGTACACGTTAACATATTTTCCACATGATCATTGCATTTTTGTTATTTCAAGTGCTCAAAATACGAGTTAATGATGCCATATTTTATTTTA